TCAAACTCACACTGATTACTATGTCCTTTTTGTCACTTTTCATACACAATAGGCTATAGTCATTTTTCAAAAATAATTTCAGAAGAGTCCAGACTGCATTCCAATTTTTGTCTGATTATTTCATGTATGTTGAAAATTAGTTCTGGAAGAACAGGACCCAGCAATTATTTTTCTATAAAGCATGGTTGTAAATATGTTTCACTTTCTGACCCTACAAACTCTGTCAAAACTATTCAGCCCTCTTATTGTAACATGTAGGCACCCACAAACAATACATCAATGGCAGGAGTGGAGGTGCTGTGTTCCAATAAGACTTCAATATGAAAGTAGGCATTTGCATGAATTTGGCCAGGATGCTAAAGTTAGTCAACTCTTAGTCTAAAGACTAGCTTATATTTGTATTAGGCTGATAGATAAATAATTCGTTATCTATCAAAGATAAGATGTAGTAACTTCATGTTTTATCAGGAGACATATATTAGGTTGCCAACCACTGAAGATGCTAAGTTTGATTATTAAGATCAGGTGGGGACTGCCAGACCTCCACATTGTAATTGTGTGTGTAGTCAACAGTAATCTATAAGGTAATATTTTAGCATGTGGTACCAGCCTGTTCTCTAAAAACTCCTTCCCCAAATGATTTCTGTGACCACCCCATGAATATTGACAAATGATGAATTACCAATTATTCATAATTTCATTTATGGGCTGGTATTTTAGCTATCACATAGGACTTCTAAATATTTTATTTAACACACTCTAATAATTTATAGCCATTTTATGTTAAAATTTATATGGATATGGTTAGTAGTTTTTAGGTATCTTGCCTTGCTCACATGCTGAAAATTAATTATTATATAAAAAATACAAATTGCAAAATGTGCAGTAGTAATATAATCCTTTTTCCATAGCTCAGCTTATAAAATGTAAGGATTAAAGACTCTAATACAGGATTCTGATTTTACTCTGAGGAAAACAATTTTTATATGTAAGCTTTACGAAATCAGGAATTGGGTCTGTCTTGATTTCACTGCAATTGTTGAGTAATAAAAATACATTTTTTCAATTAATAAATTGGCAAGTCACTGAAAATAGACATGAAGAAATAGAGGCAGGTATGTACGGAAACCAGCTTCCCTGCTTTGCCTAAGACTGAGATATGTCCTGGGATGCAGACTTTCAGTATTAATACCATGAAAGGCTTGGGCAACTGAGATTATTGTTAACCCTGCTGACAGGTATTAATGTGAACATTACTTTCCCCTTTTCTGCTATTTACTTTCTGCTTTTGTGTTATTTCCTCTGCAGCTGGCTTTCACTGTTATATTTTCAAATTGAGTAAGAATTGTGGACTCTCTTGGGAGTATGATGATCATGGAACAGGACCAGAAAACCCAAATTCTCCAGCAATCCAAAGTCAAGTATTAGCTGCATACTTTCTCCCAATATGATATCATGAAGTTACTTGTAACAAACTAGAAAAGCTTTTTATACTCTGCACAAAGAATGACAATTCAGTGTTCTCCATCTTTTCTAGGAGACATCATCTACTTTGACTGTTCACTATAGTTACCCTGAAAAGAGAGGTATAAAAATGACACTGCGTTTTTTTAAAAAACTGAAAGACTTAAACAATAGTAAAACAGTATAAAGGAGTCAAAGAAGACCTAAAGATATAGAACAACATTGCATGCTCATTGGTCAGATTTAACATAATTAAGATGGCAGTAGTCCCCCCAAATTGATCTAAATATTCAACACTATCCTGAACAGTTCAGTTAAAATTTTCTCAGAAATTGAAACACATACATTAAAATTTATTAAGGTGTCCAGATAAGAGGCACTTTAACTAAAATATTTAGAGAATTCTTACCATTTATCATTAAACACAATTGCACAATTAAATATAGACAAAGTATTTGAATAGATATTTCCCGAAAAACAAGATAAACAAATGGTTAATAAGCACATGAAAGACTCAGCATCATCACGCATCAGTGAAAGGTAAATCAAAACCTGAATGGCTGGCATTCCACACCTACTAAAGTATCAAAAAGATAAACAAAATCACCTTTTGGTAAGTATGGGAGGGAAACTAGAACCTCTTTTATTGCCTAGAAGCAACCATTTCCAGAATTTTAATGAAAAGTGGTACAAAATCTATTTTTTTGCATAAAAAAGTAACTCTCCATATTGTATGGAAAAGTCATTACAGGACAGAGAGGTGGAGTCTATCTAGGAGGATATTGCAATCAGCCCAGAGATATGGCAACTGGAATGTAGGAGAAAGTGATGGATACAGAATCAAGAAGACAAATTTGTGATCTACTAAAGAGAAAACAATAGTAGGGCTTAGCAACAGAATGACTTGAATATCAAAAAGATAGGGAATTATAATATTGAGGGTGTTTTGGGTCCAATGGTGCAGTTTTTCCTCAACTAAAGGATGGAAAAGCTTATCACAGAACTGAGAGAGCTGAAGAGTGTAAAGTTGGAAAAAAAGGTGGTAAATTCTGTTATGATCATGTGGAGCTGAGATACATTATTAGAGATGTCAAGTTGGGAACTGGAAATAGTAGTCAGGAACCATATCTATCTCAAGACTGAGAAACATATTTGACCATCATTTCCTTGTTTCCTTCTGTTTGGCTCATTAAGTCACTATGGACATAATTGTCTATGTGAGGGTATAAAATGAGTATAGAAGTGTTTCAAGAACTACCAATGTAGAATATATGAAATATAAGGAGACAAATAAAGTTCAACTAGAAGGATAGGAAGAATTCCAGGAGTTTTGAGATAAGAAAACCAGAGATAAAAGGAGAATATTTCAAAATGAAGGCAATAACCATAGTACCCAGTGCTGTTAAGAGACTAAAAGGGCCCTCCCTGGTGGTACAAGGGCTTTAAGTGTAGCATTATGAAGTGATCTGCAGCCACTGCAGCAACCCCCTGCCAGGGAGGTGACCCACATGGTGCAGCAGACATCTCCCTCCTCGCCTGCCGCTCCCCTCAGCAGTGTATTTCAGTCAATCTGCCTCTTCTGTTCCCCGCTCTGTCTCTGGTGAATTCTCTTACACCATGTACCACTTGCCTTTACCCAAGTTCTTGTATGCATAAAGAAATAAATCTTCTTAAAAAATAGTTATCATTGGAGACCTAAGAGAGAGCTGTTTTAGTAGAACGATAGAGATAAAACCGTATTTCAGTGCATATACAAAAAAGAGAGAAGAAATCTATCAAATTCACAAGTGGAAGAATTAGCTTGCTGCAATGAAGGTTGAAAGGGTGCTGTGGAGAAGATTAGACTGTACACAGTATACAGAATGTATGAGCAATGATGCAAAGTTATCGACAAGTAAGAACCAATTTTCAGGTGGAGTGACTGTCTTTAAAAGTAGGAAGTATGGCAAAACATTACATGACATACACCTCAGTACCTTCTTTAAAGACTAATCCCCCAAAGCAAAGAAAGTGAAAGAAAAGATAAATGGGTTACATCAAACCCAAAATCTTCTTTACAGCAAGAGATATTACCAAAACAAAGAGACATTCTACTGACTGGGAGAAACATTTTGCACTCCAACAACTCACAAAAATATACAAAGAACTAAACCGAAAACAAAGTAAGAAACCCAGTCCAAAAAAAAAATGGGTTGAAGAATTTAAAAGATACTTCTACAAAGATGAAATGCAAATGACTCACAGGCATATGAAAAAATGCTCAACATCGCTGGAAGTCAGGAAAATGCGAAATCAAAAACAACAAGATACCATCTCACTCCAATGAGAATGGTACATATGTAAAAAGTTAGCAACAACAAATGTTGGTGAGGATGTGAAGAAAAGGGAACTCTCCTGCACTACTGGGGGGAGTGCAGACAGGTCCAGCCACTGTGGAAAGCTGTGTGGCAGTTCCTGAGACTACTAAAAATGGAGTTTACATATGGCCCAGCAATGCTATTCCTAGGAATCTACCCTAAGGACACAAAAACTTTAATTCAATAAGATACCTGTACCCCTGCGGTTATTGTAGCCCTATAGGTAAGATATAGGAACAACCCAAGTGCCCCAAAATAGATGATTGGATCAAAATGTGGCATGCATGTATTTATATATATATAGAAGAAGGTGGTAGGAACATATGCTGAGAAAGAAGAGTTAGAAGGCTGAGAACTACGAAATGTGGAGTTTTTTTGGAGTAGTTATAGTTAATTCAGAGAAATGTAGAAGGTTTACCAGGCAAGGTGGTGGAATCACTGATGTAGGGAAAAGAAGTTAGGGCAGTCAAAAAACCTAGAATGATTCATACAGACCTATGTTTTGTGTTATTCACATATCAATGGGACCATAATACTATTCACCTCCAAATGCTGATTTGAAGAATATTTGAACAACAACAACAACTATATATATATATATATATATAAAGGCTTTGTATATAGAAAAACACAGCTGCCTGCTGATTCATACCGCAGCCTCTCCTCTGACCTCCGTGACTTTCTTCCTGGTTTTAGCCTTTGTGTGTGCAAGAGACACTCATAATGGCTGCAGGCTTAACAGGACAATCTCAAATCCCTGTCAATACCTATTTCACTCTGCTGCCATAGCTATAAACACGTGCCTATTGCTCTGCATGTGGACAGGCAGCAGGCAGTGACCACAGTGCATCACAGCCTGTGCATCACTGCCTCAGGTTATTAGTTTCTGCCTTCTGAGATTACTATATTTAACTTTCTTGATGACAGTGTTTTATCTTCTCACCAGAAAATCTAAGAGCTCGTTTACCTGGTCACACAATGTGGGTGTCCCATGAGTGTGACAACTGAGAAAATAGTGGTATACAATAGTGAAGGGAGCTTGAAAGTTGAGCAAGAACACTCATGATGAGGACACACCTTCCAGTGGGTACAAGAGTAAACCAGGGAGCATCACCTGAGGGCATTGCCTTCTATATGCCCTGACTCTCTAGTGTAGCAGGTATATGCTGTTCAAGTGGTTCAATTAGTGAAGGGCAAAATCTGTAACCTTACCATGCTTGGTTTGGAGGCATCCGAAATGACCCTGCTAGAGAGTGTGTGGCTCTCAGACTCAGCTCCCAACTTCCTGACCCTTTTGTACCATCTTCCATATTGCTCCCGGACCTGCAAGGAAAAAGCACACTCTGGGTCAGCTCACTGAGAGAGGCGAGACTGGAAGAGTCCTCAGTGGGGGATGTCCAGTAGTACCTGCTGGTTGAGTAGGCAGTAGACCAGGAAGATGAAGACGCCCTGCAGGCTGTTGATGATGGTGAACAGGTAGGCCATGATCTGGGCACCAGGACCCACCTGCAGGATTCCCAAACACCATGTGCATCCCAAGATGACGACCTGAGTAGTAGCTTTAAATGTCAGCATTCTAGGTGAGAGAAGTAAGGGGATACATAATTTACCAGGAACAGCACTACCTAAGTCATTTTCTTCTCCACCCCATAAGGAATGGCCCTACCCCTCCATTGGTGATGACTTCTCAGAAAGAATTGTGATCAGCATTGATCTTTACTGTCAGTTGTTCCCCATAATGGCATTTTTATTTGGGTTGAGTGACACTTTATAATATGGTGTCAAATTTTTTATGATGTTCCTTGGATGACAATAATTTCATTAGGCCAACAAACTGAGGAAAGTACTATATATCAGGTTTTGTGCTGGCATCTGGGTCATTCCACTAATGAGTATCTACCCCCATGAAAAAAAAAAAATGCAGGCCCTCTCTGGTGGCGTAACAGGTTAAAGCACAGCCCTAAGAAGCAAAGCCACTTCAGCCTGATTTTGATCCCCGCCTGCCCTGGAGGTGATCCACATGGCTCCGCAGACCTCGCCTGACCCGCCCGCAGCTCCCCTCAGCAGTGTACTTCATCATTCTGCCTGTTCTGCTGCCCACTCTGTCTCTTGTGAATCTTCTCACCGCCCCTGCACCTTTAGCCTGTACCCCAGTTCTGTATGCACAAATAAATAAATCTTTAAAAAAATGCAAAAACTGGAGCTAGAAGGGATTATGCTCAGTGAAATAAGTCAGAAAGAAAAAGTAAAATATTAGATGTCTTCACTTATAGGAGGAATGTAGGGGAAACAAAAAAGGGATCAGAGGAAAAAATAACTATAATAAATTAGAAAACAAAATTACCAGGTGACTATACATCAGAGATATTCTATATGGGAGGAGGAATGTGATAGATCAAAACAGAAGGGAAGAGCACAAGGGACTATGGTGATGGTGCACGGACATATTGGTGGTGGGAATTCTGCAGTTATGACATGGGAGAGGAGAACATAAAAGGAAGAATAAGATATATATATATAACAAATTTGTTTTAAAATGTTATATTGAGACAAGAAAAAATGCAAAAGCATTAATACAAAGGGTTGTATAGTTTGTATTCACTGCAGCATTATTTGCAATAGCCAGGCTATGGAAACAACCTAAGTGTCCAATGGCAGGCAAGTGGATTAAGCTATGTATATAAAAACAACAGAATACTATTCAGTTATTTAAAAAGAAAAAGAAACTCTTGCCATTTTCAACATGAATGAACTAGAGAAGATTATGATAAGTGAAATAAGCCAATGGAGAAAATAAACATTGGGTCATTCCAAACTCATGCATAGAATATAAAGGAATAAAAAGGACCACAAAACATATATTAGATCTGACTGTAGCACTGAGGCTAGCACATGGACAAGGTGGGGAGGGGACCCAGTGGGCTGTGGTGGAGGATTATGTGTGTTCTGGTAGTGGGTGCCGTGTGGCAACATACATCTGAGGTGCTGTGAACTGCTACCAAAAAAATGTCAGCTAACAAAAATAATACAATTAAATTTAAAGAACAAAGGCAAGATTTCTATTTTCATAAACCTCATAGCCTATTCAAATTACTAATACAAATGAATAATGGCATGCAAATTTTTAAAAGATAATGATAAGAACGTATACTAAAAAGCATTAAATGTATTCAGTGCTTCCTAGAGCAAACTAGTGTTCAAACCTTCTATATGTGATGCTGCTTCAGACTTTTCCCGGGACTAGGTCTGTAGCCAAAAGACTGTACTGAGGGTGGGGCTTGAAAGTGTAAAGTGGACTGTGGGACACTCTCAGATTTTTCTAGTGCTATATAGGAAGATAAGTGTTCTTGCGTCTCTTGTCTGAGAACTACTGACAAAAAGTCCAAATCATGCTTATCAATCAATGTCAATTCTTTCTATTGCAGGCAGATGCACAAACTTGAATTAAAGGAATCATTTTGACTGGGGTGCCAGCAGCACACCCCACCAAAACGAAACTGTCTGCAACAGAAGAAATTACATCTGGGTTCCCTCAGACAACCTTGACAAAGGACATCAGAGAATACTGAGGGGCACATGCTTTATGTTCCTTAAGCCTCACATGTTTATGTGGTTGTCACCTCCTCTCTGTCTTACCTTGTATTATGGATGGTGGACACATCACTGTTGAGGGAAGAGAGTTTGTTTTTCAGGTACCAGAGTGCCATCAGGAAGAAAACTATATTGACCTTCAGGAAACCACAGAAATTTTATTGAATAAAATTCCAACCTATTATCTCTATCCCAGCCAGTTCAATATCAACTTCACACACCCATGGTGTTCATGTTTAGTAACAGTTTTGATGTTTATAGTTTTGGGAGTAGCCTCATAAAATCAAACTCATAACAACCCAGGGACACATCTTGATTCTATCACCCTCCCCTTTGCAATTCTGCTCTTCCAGTGACCCTAGTTGAGCATTAAGGATGCTCTAACATCATCACTCACAGAGAAGATGGCACAGACTGGTCCAAGGAAGCCCCATATCAATCCCTTCTCTGTGTGGAGCCAGCAACTGGACAAGAGAGAACAAAACCTGCATTGGCACAGGTGGTACTAGAAGGGTGTGGTGGGTATAAAGGCTGGTTGGGCCCAAACGTCTATGAATGCTTTTGTAACAGATAAATATCCATGAAAGGGAGAGGAGCATTGAATGTGGTTATTCTCCTTGCCCCCACTACATGCAGTTGCTTTGGGTTACAAGTCCAGTATGCCTGAAGGAGGAGGGGATTAGTAAATGAAACACAGAGAACATAGAAGTCAGACTTTATTAATAAACAGTGACAGAATTCATCCTTGCTGCAACACCAGAGTAGAATTCAGGGTAAGGCGGGATATTTCAGAACAATGAAGAATATGCCAAGAAAAATGGAAGAAAGTAAGAACTGAAGTGTCCAAAAATGACATCTGAAAAATAACACAGCTGGTGTGAGCAAACATGAATTTAACTGAATGCTGTGGCTAAGGGTGCAGAATTTGGGGGAGTCATTTCCTGAGTAGAGGCATGAGGTATGAAGTAGCTATCATCCTAAAGCAAAAGCATGTTTATGGAAAAAGACTAAAACCAACTATTTTAAAACTCAAATTCCCCAAACCACAGAACAAACTGAAAATAGCCTATTTAAAATAAACTTCTGAACTCTGATTAGAATGAGTGTTAGAGGGAACGCATACCCTGAGCACAGGTTTTGTAGATTCCACCCCATTCCAGACCAAAGTCATCAAGAGTCCAGGAACTACAAATACCCTCATCACCAAAGGGAGCCGCTGCACCTGAGGGTAGAGTTAAGCAGTCAGGTTTGGTCTAAGACCTGGCATGTGGACCTTGGGGGCTCTCTTGGATTTTGGCTCTTGGTCTCTTGGCAGCTTGGCTTGACTCATGGCTTTTTGCCAGCTCACAGTGTGCCATTGGGATTCCAGGTCAGCCAAATTGGTAGGATGTATAAACCAGCTTACCTCCCTCTCTTACTATTCATGTTTTCTTTTCCTTTTTTTTTTTTTTTTTTTGTAAATAAATGCTTTATTAACTGAATTGTTGATTTGTGTGTGCCTGGGGATTGAGTCTTATTATAAGTCCCTTTAAGTGGACAGCTTAGGATATATAGATGGGTGTCCTATTTCATATCAGGAGTAAGCATGTGTTGTTTTAACTTGAAGCTATTTTCATTCTTTCTCTCCACAGCCTAGGCTGCAGCAGCCACATGTTGACCACTTTGCAGGCAACAGAGCTATGCCTCCCTTTAGCGAGCCATTAATAGCATCATCACCATAGAGCAGTCAGTATTTTTTCTCACCCCTTAACTCCCTGGGGACACTTTATGCTCCAAATTTAGTGGCTATATGATTTGACAGGGAACATTCTTAGGGACAAAAAAATTGCATCTCTGAGAGCATTACCAAATAATGGAAAACTACCATCACCTTGTAACAGATATAGGTTTCATGGGCTCCACCCCCACTCCAGACAGATACTGGAACTACAAATCCCATCATACCAATGAGAATCATCTGGGACCTGAGGGTGGAGCTGAGCAGCTAGGTTGGGATAAAACCAGACATGTGGTCTCCGGGGGTCTCTTGGCTAGTGGTTCCCAGCTGGTCGTTTGGCTCTTGATCAGCTTTCAGTGTGCTGTTGGAGTTCCAGGCCAGCAGAACTGGTAGGGCATTCTAGCTAACTTGTATTTCCCTCTCTTTTCCTGGGTTGTCTCTTTTCCCTTCCCTTTGCAAATAAACCCATTATCGAACCTTTTTGTGTGTGTCTATAAGTACAAGTGAATTTTAAGCATGCAGGTAAGGACCAACAGACAGGCAACCCAGCTCGCATTGGGTTGCCCTGTAACATCACCAGCTGCCAGACTGTCATCAGTTAGTGTCAACTTGTGCAGGATTTTTTCTAAATACTGGAAGACTAAGGAACAGTAAGGAATTTTGAGAACTCTGAAATATTCCTGGAATTTTAAGGTTGAACAACACTGTGTCTGCTCAGGAAAGGCCTGGAGGAAGAAAAGCATAGGTCTCTTATCTCTGCATGACCTTGAGGTTTTGTGCAATCAAGACATGAAAGCATGGGGCTGCAGGGTGGAAAGGACAAAAGGATAAAACTGGGGCGGGAAGAACACACAGGACTATGGTGATGGCACATGTGTGAATTGGTGGTGAGAAGTCTATGGGAGTTACAACTGAGATGAAAAAGCATACACTGTACAAAAATAAAGAACAATCTAAAATATAAATATATCTTTAAAAAGATGTGAAAGCTCAGTCTGTTATGCAAACTGCTTAAAGGTGAAAGGGGAATCTTACACTGATACCTGTGTAAAAGAGTGCAAAACATGTTGCAGTCTTCTGAACAAACACTGAATAGCTCCTAAATTGAACTGAACTGGGTGTGACCCAGTAGATATTAAATTCAGAAATAAAAACAAGACTTGTAAAAATCTAACAGAAAGTTCAAGGCTACATACTGCAAGCAATGATCAATCACCAGAATTAGTGAAGGAAAGTCATTAAACAAACAAACAGCAAACTAGTGATAATGAAACTTGGAGGGGTAAGAAGCCTAATAACAGGATTATATTTCACCTAAAACACCTAGTTTTAGGGAATCCACCCATATCATGGAGGAATAAAGATCAGGATCAGCTTCTCCCTTAAAACAACTAAAAAAAAATATTTGCTCAGGGCCCTGCTTGGTGGTGCAGCAGGTTAAAGCACGGCACTAAGAAGCTAATAACGCTTCAGCATGAGTTCAATCCCTGCCCTGGACATGACCCACATGGCGCTGCAGACCTCTCCTGACCTGCCCGCTGCTCCCTCAGCAGTGTACTTCGTCAGTCGTCCTGTTCTGCTCCCCACTCTGGTGAATCCTCTTACTGCCCCTACATCTCTGGCCTGTACCCCAGTTCTGTATGTATAAATAAGTAAATCTTTAAAAAAAATTTTTGCTCAAAGGAAGATTCATAGGTTCCCCGACAGTCTCCCTTGGAAACTCTGTACTAAGTTTCCCTTGGAGGACTTGCACTGGGTTGGTGGTTTGCTGCTGGGAAAGAGATAGAAAAGGTAAGGGGAGTGAAACCAGGAAAGTAGATACCCCAGACAGCAATCCACAGCCATACAAAGCACTAGTGGAAATTTCCCTATAGGGATTTCTTAGAAAGGTAATACAGTCACACATGGGCACCAGCCAGCTTAGGACACTGGGACTCCACAATCGGCATAGGCAAGTAAAGCTCACTCCACCCTCTCCTAGAAGAGATCAGAGTCGCCAGCATGTTAGGCTCAACACAGAAAGGACTGGTGAGAGAGAACTCCCACCCCTTGGACAGTACAAGCAGGCACATAGACCTTGCCCCCAGCTGCCTGGGCAGGAGCAGAGCAGTGGAGGTTGCTGTGGTGGCCATCACCTCTGGCCACAGTGGGGAGGGGGCACACATGCCATGACCTAACTGACCCAGAGCAACAATCTTATGGACCAGCACTAGACCCCTCACCAGGAAACTCGACTTGCACAGAATAGGACCCAGAGCAGAAAGAAGCAGTGCGGGGGAGGGGGATGGGAGGCAGAGTGGAATAATACATTTGACATCATCCAAGTCAAAAACTATTTCTGCTTTAAGGACTAGACCAAATTTCCCTAGGGGGTTGTCTCAGAAAGGCATACAGTCGCACAGAGACACCAGTCAGCTTGGGACACTGGGACTCCACAGTCAGCACAGGCTTTAAAGGACATTATCAAGGAAGTGAAAAGGTACTGAAACAAAATGTGAAAATCAGATTTATTGATATTTTTCTAATTGAATATATTAAGAACACTTAAAACAGAACAATAACAAGACAAATCAACTTGAAAAATGGGGAAAAGATTTAAATAGGTATGTCTCCAGGACAAATAATCAATAAGCACATGAAAAGATGCCCAACATTAGTTGTTAGGGGAATACAAATCTAACCCAAAATAATTATCATTTCATATGCATCATGGCCAAAGTTTAAAATGTGCAAAATAAGTGTTAATGATGTGGAGAAGCTGAAACCTCATATTTTGTTGGTGGGACATGAAATTTGATATTGGAAAACAGGTGGTAGCTTGTCAGGATGCTAAACACAGATTTGCCACTAGTGATACAAAACCCAAGACAAATGCAAACACATCCACATAAAAACATGCATGTATATCAGCAACACTCACAATATCAAAGCAATTAAAACATTTTAAGCATAGCAACTGCTGAACGTGGTACATATATATAATGAAGTATTATTTACAGAACACAACCAGCTACAAGAATGAGGTCAGGATATTTGCTCCAACAGCTTGAACCTTGATAATATCATGCTCAATGAAAGAATTCAGTCCCAAAAGACCACACACAGGATGCATTGTCTAAAATAGCCCAAAGGGTGGAGCCATAGAAATAGAAAGTAGATCTGTGTCTGAAGGGAATGGGATATGAAAGTTACTGTCTACTAAGTTTGTTTTGAGGATTTGCAAGTGTTCTAAAATTACATTGCAGGGATGGCTACACACCACTCTGGATTATGCTAAAAACCACTGATATGTGCACATTTGAAGGGTAAAGTTAATGGAGTGTGATATCTATTTCCATAAAGAAATAAAAATATTAAGTCTAGTATTAAATGCTGAAATAAGAGAATGGAAGCTCTGAAAGTTGATGCCATGGATTTAAACCCTCACTATACCAGCTTATACATAAATATACCGTAAGACACTTGCTTAAAAATTTGTGTGCTTTTATGTGTTCATCTGTAAAATAGTGTAAACAATAGTATCTGCTTCATATTTTCTGTGGTGATTTAATCAACTACTATGAAAATTGTTAGAAAATCCTGACACTAAGTAGTCACCTTGTAAATCTTCACTGTGACATAAACTAGTGTTTTTGATTACTTAAATGGCTTCTACATTTCCAAGTGAAAAATTAGAATATCCTAGAAGATAATGATTAAGCATTGGTTAGATTTTTTTTTCTTGAAATCTAACATGTCTTTTGATTTCCTCTTTGCTATTTCAAGGGCACAAATTTAAATGTATTATTCTTAATCATTATAAGGAATCATTATAAGCAACACTGGGATTATTATCTAGTGTTGTTCTCCATAGTGTTAATTATTGAGTTAATCAAAATTCAGCATTGGTCCCAAGATGGCCATGGTCATGGAACAAAGGAATGCCAGTGGGATTTTGCACTTACTAGGCAGCTGTTCCATAAAGGTCAGGCCTGGATGCTGCGGAAATGGCCACAATCACAGCTGGGACTCCATAGCCCACCGGAAACATAAACTTCTTCATGAACCTGTTGACACTGGCGTAGTTGACCACCATCAGGTTGCGCGCAGTGAGGAAGAGGTGCAGGCCCTCCAGCAGCATCCAGGTGAAGGAGGCCAGGTACAGGTAGCGTAAGGTCCCTGCGATGGCGGCACACAGGACCTGGGGAGGGAGGGCATCCTCAGGAGGGGTCATGCAGTAGAATGCGGCCCCAGGACCTCTCTGCACCCTGCCACTGAAGACAGCGCTGAGGTATAGGAAGGAGTTGTCAAGAGAGGGGCTGTCTTCCACTTGCACCTGTCAGTGTGAAATTGACCCTTCACTCCCATAACCTTCCCCAGGATCCAGGGCTATTTCATTTAAATGTACATTATAGCAAGGCTCCAACTCCAGAGCTCCCAGAGGGAGAGCTGGCAATCCCCTGGGGCACTGTCACTACCTTGATTTCAGTTCTGTCAATGGCCGTGAGGAAGAGCAGGTGGGCAAGGAAGAGGCAGAGTGAGAGCTGCAGGTGGAGGGAGGTACTGATGTTCTGGATGGTTTTGCACAGCCGGAAAGTCACGGCGGCCAGGAAGAGGCAAAGCAGAGAGAGGCTCAGTCCCACGTAGGTGATCACAGCCAACACAGGATCCTCCTCCTGGGACGCAGCGGAGATGACCATTACCTACTGCTCTGTGGCAATGCCACTAACCATTTTTATTTTTATTTTCACTTCCAGGCACAATGTTCCATTCACTCCTGACGCTCACCTCTATTCCATGAGGCTATGATGGGTTCCATTCCAGGACACTCCATGTCCAGCATCCAATTCCACACCCTGATACCACTCACCTCAACACAGCACCACTGTTCCTTGCTGGCTCTAATCCTTACATGCAGAATTTGGTTCTGACAAAGGAGGAAAACCATTATGCTTGATGATGAAGGCAACTAAAAACTGGTATATAGGATAAATAGCAATTGGGCATTATATCTACTGTTTTAAATCTGTAGTATTTTCTGTAATTTGAAATTGTTCCTAATAAAATGCTGAAAATAATTAATAAGCCCTTTATGTATTCTTTATGCACACAATTTTTTGAGAATTTTTGCCATCATCACAAAAAAACTGATTTCCCTAGTGTATAAGGAATTCACATAAATCCACAAGAAATAAAGTCAATTGAAAATGACTGAGATGAAGAAAGACATTTAGGGTATTAGACTAGCTTTGTATAAGTAAGACCTTTACTGGAGCAAAGATATGGTTCCAGAAACAACTCAAAGTCCACCCACCCCAAGTCTCTTGTAGGAATTGAGAAGGAAACAACTGGTCTTAGGAAGCAAAAATCTATTTCTGTGATGTAAATTTCCTGCTTCTATTTTTTTAGAACCAATGAGCATTCTTTTTAAAAAGCTAATTTCAGAAGCATTTCTTACTAAAATGTGTAAATGAAAGAGAAATGTTAAATTAATAAAAATTTTTGGTCTCTTCCAGATACTGGTAAAGTAAATTTTGTTTCTTAAAACAAATAGAGGGGCCTGAATTTTTCTTTTAAAGACTCATTTATTTATGCAGACATGAACTGGGATATAGGCCAGAGGGGCAGGGTGTGAGAGAATTCATCTGAGATAGAGTGGGGAGCAGAACAGGTAGATCGTCTGAAATACACTGCTGAGGGGTGATGAGAGGGAGAGAAGAGAAGTCTATCGCACCATGTTGATCAGCTCCCTGGCCAGGGACGGAGCTCGTGCTGCAGTGCTGCAGATATCTTCTTAATGCTGCACTTTAACCACATGTTCCACCAGGGAGGGCCCGGTGGCTGAATTTTTTTTTTTAAGATTTATTTATTTATTCGCACAGAACTGGGGTACAGGCCAGAGATGCGGAGGGTGAGAGGATTCACCAGAGACGGAGCTGGGAGCAGAACAGGCAGATCCACG